GGTCATTATGAAACTCGCACCAATGGTCAGAGTTGCGCCTGTTTGGATTCGGTCTCATTTCCTTTGGCCATCGAACCTTATCTCCCATGCTTCTCAAAACAGCTACGAGCTCGGAGGTTCTGACGTTGAAGTTGTAACCACCGAATCTCGCTTTTAAATTTCTATCATCATCTCGTGACTCATAGTTGTTTCGCTCGTTCCTGAATCTTGATGAAGAACCTGAGTCTCTGTTTCTTGATCTGTGATCGTACCTTTGATTATCATGCTTTGACCGTGAGTCCTTTCCCGCAAGTCTCATGTAAAGCTCGTACCTATTTTTACCGGATCTTTTTTCGATCTATGCACGTCTCGAACTTACCTTTTCTTCTTTTTGAAATCGTGGAACAATATCTTCCTCAATCCTCAGCTTCGTGCTATACCTGTTATAGACATCATTCCACGTTGTAGCGGGAATTCTCGAAGGCTTTCCTTGAGTTTCCTCGTAGCTTCCGAGCTTTTTTCATTCAAATTACTTGTGAAAGCTATAGCTGCCCAGTTGTCAGGTAAACGTGGCAATGTCATTCTTTCACGTTGAAATCTGTCCACGAATTCTCTAAGCAGTTCTGAGTCCCCTTGCTTGATTTTGAAAATATCCTCCATTCTTTTATCTACTTTTTGAGCTCCCGAGTGTGTTTTGATGAAAGAATCTGCAAGCTCAGCAAAAGAATTTATAGAATTTTCGGGTAAAAGAGAATACTATGTTAGCGCTCCTTTGGTGAGCGTTTCACCAATTTTTTTGACTAATACTGATTCAATCTCCTGCTTAGTCAAATCGTTGTCTTTTACGCCCGTTGTGAATGCAGTCACGTGATATCGTGGGTTTGTTGTTCCATCATATTTTGGAATATCAGGCATTTTGAACCTTTTTGGAATTGGGAGTGGAGCAACACTTGGCTTCCAGGGTTGTTGCGAATATCTATCCATATCTACCCATTTGATTATGGGCGGCACCCTGGGTATCTGCTATATGCGCTCACTTTGCTCCTTGAGCTGTTTCTGCAAAGTTAGTACTAAATTTTGTAAATTAGAATTAATTACATTACCTGGTTCTCTCTCCTGTGATTCACTGAGAGTTCCATCGCTGTCTGAGTTAACAAGCCCGGAACGAGGGTTTTCCAAAGTGTTATTATTTGGAGTAGGTGTGGGTGTTGCAACAGGTAACTGGTTAACAAGTGCCTCAACAACTTTTTTGACCTGAGCAGCAATTAATTTCTGCAAAGCTTCATCAACAGTTTCAGCATTTTCAAATTGAGTATGCTCGTTTATTTGAGACCCATCAGGAGTACCCTCACGAGATTGCCATGGAGAGTCTCGTGGAGTAGGAACTTGAGTATTAATATTCTGTGGATCTCCCTGATTTTGTTGGTTCTCTTGGGTTCCTTGAATGTTGTCACTGTTGTTCGACATAATTGATGCAACAAGGAAAGTTAAGTGAAAAGAAAATAGATTATCAGTTTTTCGGTAGCGGAATCAATTTGTTTAACCAAAAAAATAAAATTTTAGTCAAAGCTAGAATTTAGAAGAACACGGGTTATTGATAATCAAAAGAATGTATAAAGGGAAGTAATTTAGGTAGCAAGAGAGTAATCAAGAGAAAAACAAGTGAACCAAAGTTTATTCCAATAGTGTTTCGTGTCCTTACAATTGATCAAATATCTCCCTTTTATAGATATCTTGGAGATATACGTTTTGCCCAAATCATAATGAAGCTATTATGAGTAATTAAAGACATTGAATGCTACGTTATATAATCATTACATTCAATATAAATTCTCTAACATATTCCACATTTAATGCCTATTAGATGTCGTATCTGCACTCTTTTCTATTGTCAGATTCATTCCTTTTGATTCTCGGACATAAATGACTTAAATAGGTATGGGCGCTAGGTTATTTGAATGTTTGTGCCTCTTCCTCTGCCATTTGCTCGTATCTGTTGCAACTCGTGCCTCTTGGCTAGTTGTAATTCTTTGACTATTTCACCAGTCTACGTGTCTCGATACGTCACCTTTATATTTAAATACAATTTTTCTCAATACATATAGGTCGCTTAGATCCATGAAAAGAAAACCTTACTATTAGGATGAAAAGTGACATGCTTAAAGTAAATTAAGGTCAAGAATTGCCCATATAGAATAATAACATACTTATTGTTCAAATAACAGAATATTTTTGTGAAGAATATTATCAGAGATAGAACTAAGATTTAAAATGGATTTTGAATTTCTATCAAACTCAAAGCCAGTTTCAGTTATTACTTGCTAGTTTCATAATTAAATATTTCAAAACATTTAATGAATTTTCTAATACTTATACATATTTTAAGTAAAAGCTATTGATGTATAGAATATTCTAGCTTCGTGAATATTATAGTGTGATATAATCAACCTTAGTTACATGCTTTTTAGGATGTTTAATTAGAAGTCAAGATTAATTGGAGAGAAAATAATTAAGAGAAATTTTCATAAAACACTATCTTTTAGTGGTAATTAGCTATCTATAGATACCATTTGTTATATTACGGATTGTAAATACGTTTTTCGTTGTTATAAAATGTTTTAAATGTATTTTAACTACTGTATTCATGAATACAGTAGCAAAAATATGCGTGAATTAGGGAAGTCCAGTTAGCCACTTGTTGTATTCGACTGTATTCATGGCGTGAAACATGAGATTACAGCTGGACATATTATTGTATTCGACTGTATTCATGGCGTGAAACATGAGATTACAGCTGGACATATTATTGTATTCGACTGTATTCACGGCGTGAAACAGGGGATTACACTATTTTTTAAACGAAAAGTGGATCAATTAACACAATAAACTCCTAATATAACTCAACAAACTCAATTATGACACACAAAATTTGTATTTCCAGTTATAAAAAAAAATTCTAACCAAAAAATACCCCAAAAACATAGCAATCTTCAGAGAAATTATATAATACATTTGAATACATAAATTATCTTAATTAAAAAAAATATATGAATACATTCATGAAATATAGCGAGACAATGAATACAATGAAATATATAGAATATAACGGTATACAGAAATGGTTGATTATGAAGAATAATTGTCCCATCTGCAAGTCCACAGCATTGTTGACGAAAGGAAAGGATTTGTGAAAGCAAACGATAGATGGTCACTAGATCTATCATTAAAAAGAACGATGAAAGCAAACGATAGATGATTTTTGTTTTCTTGCTAAGTATTTATTTGCGTTCTTGAAACGGTACTATATTTTTGTACATACTCGGCATGGTATGGCGAATGGTCAACCTGTCCAGAAACATCTTTATTGGCGTTCTCTATCACCTGAAACTGTACAGAAACCTCTAACTTTTGTCTGTCGCCTGAAGTTGTACAGAGAATATGAGATCGGGAAGTAGAGAGAGAGGGAGAATAGATATGGAGTAGGGGATAGGAGAAATTTGAGGGGATGTGAGAGAGAAAAATAATACAAAGCTTATTTTATGGCTTAAGGGTAGGAGGTAGTCATAAATAGATATTTGGCTATAAAAAAATCAAAAGATAGCTATAAAATATAATTTTTTAAAAGGGTATTTATTTAAAATAAATAAGGTATCAACCTTTGCTATAGGATGTAACTAATCCAATAATTAATTAGTAAAGCTTGGTAGTTGGGCCAGCAAAGACACTCATTCATGGGTTGTCTTCAATATATATGCTAATCGTATAGTTGTACTAATCCACAAGCTTAGAGTAGTAGATAACTTTGTTTGACCAAGTCTTGGACTAGTTCAACAAGTAATACATCCATATCTACATATTTAATGTCCATCCATAATTTCCAAACATAACGAAACGAATAATGCAGATCTTTAATAATTATGACAATAATAATAACACTATTATTAATACTACTACTACTATTATTATTATTACAAGTAAGGTTTACAAAAATGAATAACTTTTTCAACTCTCGTCCATCTCACTATTCTGCAACCCCTTCTCTTTAGCAGGCATGTAAACAAGTTTCACTCCCAAGTTTGGATTGAGTTATTTCCTTAGTTTGTGACTAGAAATAACGTCCACTAACCACTTTTTGGCCTTGTTTATTAAAAAAATTATTTCTTAAAATTTCAAATTACACGAATGAAAATTAAAGTTGTTGAATGTGATAAAGAAGACTTAGTAAACTCTAATTGGATGATCGCAAGTGTCGTAATTCTTATCTTAATTTTCATTCCCGTCAATCAAGCATATACAACCTAGAAAAGTCTTTTTTCAATTTCCCCATAAAACGGTGATGAAAAAAAATCTTTTCAAATTTAAAGTTATGAATAAAAGGGTAGTTCGGTGGATAAAACATCTCGTATTCATGCAAAATTTAGATAAGAGTCATACCTCTGGGGGTGTGATGTAGACATCCGACCCTTAGGAGGCATACGTAGGATTTTTGGTAACCAGTGTTAAAATTGAAAAAACTGAATGGATGAAAAAAATATTTTAATAAAAAGCAGTGTCATTTTTATATTTATACCTAAATTTTTTTATTTTGTATAATATCTATATATACACATATACATATTTAATAAAAATTTCGGCGAAGCGGTGTCACGTGACACCGCTTGCCACAAGGTGTATCCGTCGTGTCTATTCTAATGCAAGTATTAATAAAATTCCGGTCAAGCGGTGTCACGTGACACCACTTACCGCAAGGTGTATCCGCCCGTGTTTACCCTAATATACCCTAATACAAGTATTAATAGCTGTTTCCTTGACTCAAACACGTAACCTATAGGTTATATCAAGATGACTTTACCGTGGTTCCAATGCCTCCCCTTCAAATTTAAACCTACGAATGTGACATGCATTTGCACATCAGCTAGTTTTGACGGTTCATACCAAATTTAACTGGTGCAAGTAAATAGAAATCAAAACAAAAATGAAGCTAATTAAACAATCACCAAACAGCTACAAAACAAAAGACAAAAAGAGAAGGCAGAGCGAACTTTCATATATTATCAACATTCACATTTTCTATTCACAAATATCAATATGTTTCTTTCGTGGTAAGTACCACACAATGCAACAAAATGACATTAAAAAAAAATCAAGATAATGAAATGATTCTCACTTTTTTGTACGATTACACGTGCAAATTATACCAACACTAAATTACAAAATCCATCACTAAATTACTACAAAGTTTCCACCTAATTCATTGCCTAACATTTTCTTGACGTTGCCACCTAATAAAAATATGAATCCAACTCATCAATGTGCAATTACCCTTTTAGTCCTTTTTCCCGTTGACTTGATCAACTTTGACCAAAACCCTTCTTTCTTCTTCTTTCCATTAATTCCAACTCTACCACCTCTAGCAACAATAGCAATTGATCTACTCTTCTTCAAACCACCGCCGGCGCCTCCGCTGGCGAGAGTAACAAAGGAGTAGTGACCGCCGGTAACGTCGGAGGTGATCCGACGGTGGCCGATGGCTCCACGTGGCGAGACGCAATTGGATGAAGTAGTAGAGGAAGATAAAGAAGAAGAAATTGAAGCAAGTGCAGCCATAATTGTAGATGTACCATTAATTTTGGAGAGCTTTTCTCTTAAACAACAAGAACATACTCCTGGTTGTTGTTTGTGTTGTGGATGCTTCTTGCATATTACTTCTGGTTCTGAAAAAGCCATTCAATTGATAATTTTGATGTTCAAGATGAACAAGTTGAAATTCTTGACTTGTACTTTTTTTTGGTCACGTAAATGAGATTTGAGTTAATGCAACAAAATATGAAGAAAAGGGTTATATATATACACAAGGGTTAGGTAGGTAGGGGGTTTTGTGGTGGG